CCAGAAGGCTGGCAGTTCAAACCCACCAGCCACTCCTCGGAAGGAAGATTGGGCAATCTACTTCTGTAGTGATACTGCCTCGGAAACCCAAGAAGGGGTTGCTATGAGTTGGGTCTGACTCGATGGCACATAACAACAACAACAGGGACTGGAGAAGGAGGCAAGGCTGAAGTTGGTGGTGGGATTCTGATCTGGTCAGCACCTGTTCTCATCCCAGGCTGAGGTGATGGGTGAGGTCCTCTGAGACTTTGGGGACTAGTTTCGCTGGGGTGAAACCCTCCTCAGAGGACTCAGAACCCTACGGTTTAAAATGATTCGCAAGCCACCAAGGATATCTGGCTATTGGCTTCCCATTCCCACTTTTTTCTCTGGGAGTGCATTTAACTGCTAACCAGAATGTTGGTGGTTCAAACCCACCAGCCACTCCACAGAAGGAAGACTGGGCAATCTACTTCCATAAAGATTGACCGCCTCAGAAACCCAAAGGTGGTCATCATGAGTTGGAATCAACTCGATGGCAATGAGTTTGGTTTGGTTTGGTTTAAGAAGATGAGAATTCGCATACTCTTGAGGTTATAAGGAGGAGCAAATTAAAGGTGATTGCGTTTTGTGAATGGTGGAATGAGAGGGAAACGCAAACTGTGGTTGTTTTCTCTCTGCTGTGTGTACCATCAGCTCTGTCATAGCCTCTTGCAGGTTAAGGGGTGGACAGGCAACATGAAGGGGACTGCAAGGGTCACTCGGTTTAGAGAAACCGTAGCCAGGGCCTCTTGCACAGTTCCCTGCCTCTAAACCTCACTTATTCTGCCAGGTAGAGATGACTCTTTGCCTTCTAAAAAAATCATTCCTCTCATCTAACTTCAGTCCTATTGTTCTGCCTCGACTAGAAAGAATGTTAGGGAAGAGCCAAGGGGGCGCTCAGTGGTTCATCCAGCTCCAGCCACCCTATTTATAAATCTCAGCAGTGGAGTCAGAACCAGGTTGGAGTTAAGGAGGCCACGTTCCTAGACGTCTCATTCTCACCAGCAAGCAAAGCACCACGGCAGCCTCAAAGCCACAAGGGGTTGGCTTTGAAAAGTGAAGGTTCCCTTGGTGCACCCTGTGCTATCCTCACGCCCCTCCCCACCACACCACAGCCTCCCTGCCTTCATCATCTCTGCCTTCTCCATCCGCCCTCAACCCTGGGTCAAGACTCAGCAAAGAGTAGTTAAAGGGTTAAATCAGTCACCTATCCCCCACCCACCCATTCATCCACTATGAACTCCTGGAAAAGAGGAGATTCCTTCAGTCTGTGTCCCCAAGAGTGTAGGGAAGGTGGGCAGAAAGTGTTTGTGGAATGAATGAATGAATGAACGCCATCAAGAATTCTGAATAGATTTTAGTTTTGGGAAATCTCATCCAGCTTCCTCTCCTCCCAGCCAAGCTGCTCTTTGATCTCACTTCCCAGACACGGACCACAGAATGCAGATATCATCCACTAGAAATCTTGCTGCAGCCTCCTGTATTGACCACCACGCAGGAGACAGTGCAGTGTCTCAGTGGTGCACTGGGAAAGGTTTGAAAACTGGCTTCAGGGAGAAAGGCCCTGATGTGTAGCACTTGCCAATTTCCATAGTGTAAATTTTCCCACCATAGTCAATCTCAAGGCACCAAAGTGCCTGAATATGGTGTGCTCCCACGAGCACATAGCACATAGTGTCCTCCTCGTGGACCTAGGTCTGGGGTACTAGACTCGGGCTTTGATGCCAGAGAGGGAAGGCCATCTCTGGTCCACCAGGAAGAGGTGCTCTGGCTGCTCTTCTCAACCTGAGAGAGCGCCAACTGCCGAACCCATGACACTGGAAGCAGAGGAAGCCACTGAGCAGCTTTGCTCAGAATGGGCTCTGGGCCGTTGGGGCGGGTGGACCACGAAGATTCTAGTTTTTTTTTTTTTTTTCTTCTCAGTCTGCCCAGCAGGGAGCAGGAGGTGGGCGAGGGGGCAGAGTTTCTGTTACACAAAATGAGAACTCCACAGCAGAGTTGAGCTGGCCCTTTTCACGGTTTGAATGAGCATCTCTGAGGTGCCTCACCACCTTCGAGAAAAGGGGCTAAGATCTCCGTGAGAATTCACAAAAGCAGAAAAAAGAAAAACAAACCTGTGAGAGGACCATCCCTCGCAAGTCAGCCGTCAGGGCCAATTCCTCCTGGCCTCCCAGGAGCTTGGCTGGGGAGGCAAAGAACACTGCAGCCTAGGGTAGGGGGCGGGGCATCCCTCCTCTTTGCTTGTGCTTTCTTTCATTCAACTGTCAATTACTGAGGATTCAAGATGATCAATCTGGTGGGCAGAGACACATGAACATGTCAACCAGACACTGCAACAGAGTGAAAACTGGGGCTGATGGGGGTGAGGGCAAGGCACTTATGAAGCTCAGAGTAGGCAATAGTGAGCATTTATGCCAGGTTTTGAAAAGTGTGTAGGAATTGGACGGAGCTCTGGTCACATAGTGGTTAAAGCGTTCATCTGCTAGCCTAAAGGTTGGCAGTTTAAACCCACCAGCTGCTCCCCAGGAGAAAGACTTGGCAGTCTGCTTCCATAAAGATCTACAATCTTGGCAACCCTACAGGGCAGTTCTACTCTGTCCTAATGGGTCACTATGGGTTGGAATCAACTCAGTGGCAGTGGGTTGGGTTTGGTGGGAGTTGACAGAGCAGATAAGGAGGAGCAAGGGGACTGGGCTATGGAGGCCATGGCAAACTCAGCAGAGGCCAATAAGATACACGAGGGAAGAAACATAAGATGTAGGCAGTGAAGGAGAGTGGGGCGAACCAGAGGGTGCGTGTCCCACCTGAAGGCATCCAAATCTAATTGTTTTTAAACTCCACGCAGCCAGGCCTGGATTCAGCCTTTGGGCTTCCAGATGGTCAGCTCTGGCAAAAGTGACAGAGACAAGAAAGAAGCAAATTGAAGGGAAATACCTAGCCATGCCAGGGAGGAAGGGAGGAAGGGTGCTGGGAGAGGGACAGCAGAGCTAATCCCTAAGACTTTGTGTGCATGGCTAAGAGGTTTGGGGCTTTATCCTGAAAGCAATGAGGGGCCAGTGAAGATTTTCTTTTTTAATTAGATGAGTTGCAGTTCGAGAGCTGTGTTTTGGAAGGAGCTCTGTGGCAGCCAGTGAGAGCAAAGCCTTACCCTCAGGGTAGAGGTAGGGACAGCTCTGGGAGATATTAGGGGACAGAAGCAACAAAACTGGTGACCAACAGGATATGGGAGAGTGAAGATTCCCTTCATGCTCTTCAGAGGACCCTGTACATGTCAGGCTCATCAGAAATGCAGAGTGACACAGTCTGATTGAAGCTCAGATTCATCTCCCCAGAGCTGTGTTACCCTAGGCAAGAGGCTTAACCTCTCTGGGCCTCTATCTTCTGGAACTTAAAATGAGAATCACAAGGGGTGGCTCACAAGATGTTATGAGGCACTACATAAAGACTGAGAGGCAGTACAAAAGCATGAAGGAGTGTGGTTTCTGTAATTAGTTGGCTTGAGTTCAAAGCACATCTCCACTGCAGGCCAGTTGTGTGACTCTGGGAAAGTTACTTCATCTTGCTCTGCTCCAACTTCCTCACTAGTAAGTGGAGATTCTAGTAGTACCTACTTCAAAGGGCTTTGTTGTTGTTGTTATTTGCCGTTGAGTCGGTCCCGACCCTGACTCATTGCGACCCCTCCTTGGGTTTCCGAGGCTGTATCACTACAGAAGTAGGATTGCCCAACCTTCTTTCCAAGGAGTGGCTGGTGGGTTTGAACTGCCAGCCTCCTGGTTAGCAGTCAAGTGCCTTAGGCTCCTTCAAAACTCCTTCAAAGGGCTTTAGTGAGGATGAAATGAAAGTGTACTTGTAAGTGGTTTGGTGCATAATGAGAGCTCAATAAATGTGGAGTCTGTTGTTGGATAAAGCAGTTGATATTACAGTGGGGGCCGTGGTGGGTCAGTGGTGCAAGAGACCTGGGTTCAATTCCTAGCCAATGTACCTCATGTATAGCCACCACCCGTCTGTCCGTGGAAGCTTGCATATTGCTGTGATGCTGAGCAGGTTTCAGTGGAGCTGCCAGACCAAAACAGACTACAAAGGGAGAGAGTCCTGGCTATCTGATGCTGAAAACCCAGTGTATGAAAACGCTATGGCTCAGAATATTCTGATCGCGTTGTGCGTGGGGTCACCATGCTCAGGGACTGATTCAATGGCAGCTAAAACAGCAACAGGATTCAGCCAGCTCTCACCCACCCTTGGCTGTTGTCTGAGGTTCATCCTGACCCCTTACTGCTTCCCTTACCCCCTCCTCTCCCCTGCCCACCCAGGAAAAGGAGCGAGTTGGGCTGGCAGGTGAGGAAGTCCAGAGAGGAAAGAGCTCAGGTAGTGCTTGGGGCTGCCTGGTGGGGTGCCATGACTCCTAGGGTGACCTGAAGGACCTAGAAAATGTGGGGATGGAAGTTTAGGGGCCAGGGGAGCAGCCCACCGGCAATCCCCTCCTCCCAGGCAGCCAGGAAGTTTCTCTTGCTGGGGACTCAGGTTGGAGACCTAGGGAATTTTCTTTTCATTACAGTCATTACTGGAAACTCAAGAACTCAGAAAACACCCAACACCAGGCCAACCACTCCTTTACCCCCAAGATTCCCTCCTCAACTCAACCCACTGACGCTGCTGCCCAAGACCAGTTGCTTTATGACTTTGTAACAAGAGTGATCTGACTCATGGCCACTGACCAGGCCCCCTCTACCACACACAACGTTCCCCACAGTTCTGCTAAGTTTCCCTGTTTGGTTACCTTTCTTGAAAATGGCCTGTTATGGTCCTATAAGACTCCAGCCCATCCAATACACTCAGAATGTGAAATCATCTGTACACACACACACACACACACACACCAACTCCTACCTCCCTCCCCCGCCCCCCAGTGCAAAAGGATTGGACAGGGCCCATGAGAGGAGGTCGGCGGAGTAAAATAGAAACATTATTCTTGCTCTTATACTGCACCCGTTGTAACTTATCAAAACTTTGAGGTTTCTCAGTTCTCACTGACAGTCAGAGTGGGCTTTCTCTAGAGTAACTGAAAGACAGTTACGTGTTTAAAGAAACCTCGAGGGCTTAATAGCAAGATGAGTCAGTCAGGGACAGGCTGTGCATTGGACTGTGAAAAGAGCAGTTAAGGTAGAGACTTGCCCTCGGGCTCAGGAGCTCAAAGGGGTAACTCAACAAGCAACAGGAGGGGGGTTGGAGCTCAGTGCTGCACAAGAACCCGTTGCCAGACAGAACTGCGAATACTCGTGCACAAGCTGGTGACAATGGGACATTGATGCCTGTCTCCAGAAATAAAAGATGCAGCTAGGTAGGCAGGTGCAAGTAGACAGTGGGGGGGGGGGGGTTGTTGATTGCTGTGCTGAGCACTGAACATCATCCTAAGGGCTGGGTGAAAAAAACAGTGACCACTGAGTGGATTCCAACTCACAGAGACCCCATGTGTGTCAGCGTAGAACCCTATGCTATAGGGTCTTCGATGACTGGTTTTCCAGAACTAGATCTCCAGGCTTTCCTTTGAGGTGGGTGGGCTTGAACCTCCAACCTTTTGGTTAGCAGTGAAGCACATTAACCGTTTACACCACCCAGGGACTCGTAACTCTAAAACTTTCGGAGATGGGAGGTGGTGGGATGTTAGCATTAGAGATATGTTTTAGGAAGACATATCTAGAAGCCGCACACTGGATAACTTGCTGGAAGCAGGGGAGATACCTACTCATTCCTATGACTTGATGCCCTTCCTCATTTTCCTGGGAACCCCCAAGTCAGAAGAATCACCCAGCCTGAGACAACCCCTTTGGAGCATATTAGGTGTCCCTGGGTATGCAAACAGTTAAGCACTCAACTACCAACCTAAAAGTTGATGGTTTGAACCCACCTAGAGATGATGCTTGGGAAGACAGGCCTGCTTCCAAAAGGTCACAGCCTTGAAACCCCTGTGGAGCCCAGCCCCCCTCTGACACATCGATTCCAGTGCCTAAGGCATTTGACTGCTAACCGGAAGGCTGACGGTTCAAACCCACCAGCCACTCCTTGGAAGGAAGGTTGGGCAATCTACTTCCGTAGAGATACCGCCTCGGAAACCCAAGGAGGGGGTCGCTATATACAGCAGTGAGTTTTGTATTTTTTATAGGACAGGAAGAACTACCCCACAAGGTTTCCAAGGCTGTAAATCTTTCCAGAAGCAGACTGCCACATCTCTCGCCCGTGGAACAGCTGGTGGGTTCAAACCACCAACCTTTCAGTTAGCAGCCAAGTGCTTGCACCACCAGGGCTCCTTGACTGGAGCACGTGAACTCAATTTGGCTATCATACAGCTAGATTTCCAGCAGGTGGCGCTGTAGCCAAGGACACAAATTACTGGGAATCTGCTGCTTCCTCTTGGGAAGCTGGGATGCTTGCTGGAAAGGGCCCCCAGCCTCTGGAAGATGCTTGGATCAAGGTCCCAGGCTCTTTCCTGTCCCAGTACCTACTAAGACAAACTGTGATGGACCTGAAAGTCCTGCCTGTGGGGCAGACCCTGGCTGAGAACTCAGCACTAGGTATAGTCCTCGGAGTGCTCCAGATTGTTAAGTGAGAAAAGACTTAAACTATCCTGTGGAGGTCTGATGGCACAGTGCCTAAGGCATCTGACTGCTTACCAGAAGGTTGGTGGTTCAAATCCACCAGCCACTCCATGAAAGCAAGACTGGGCAATCTACTTATGTAAAGATTTACCACCTTGGAAACCCAGTGGGGGTTGCTATGATTGGAATCAATTGACCCCAGTGGGTTTGGTTTTTTTTTGTGGGAGTTTACCTTGTGGACTGTCCTCCCTTAGTCCCCAGGAGGAAATAAGTACCATGTTCCTCAGAAGGTTCATCCACAAAGCAGAATGGAGTGGTCAAGGGTCCATCACAGCACAGCCAGGCCTTGTGCTAACCTGGGTCTCTGTCTGCTGTTCGGACCCAAGGGGAGCCTCCTGCCTTCCAGAATGTACCTTCATTCTCATCTCTACTCTGGGCAGGGCCAGGTCAGGTCCTCTTCCTAAAGCTGACCATGCCCCCCATCCACCCATCTCCCCAGGCCTTGGATTATAACACTAGATAAAGGAGAGAAAACATAGGCAAATGTCCCAGGCAAGCAAATTTAAAAAGTAGAGTAACCTCAAAGAGCAGCCTCCATCCTACCAGCAGGCCACAGTATAGTGTCTGAGGCCACCTTAATGCTCCCTCCCTTGGAAGGACCACCAAGACATTCATTCATTCATCAGCATACAATTCCTGAGCATCTCCTTGACTGGGGGCTGAGCTAGATTGGGTCCCTGCCCCAGTGGCAGTCTGGGGGCTGGAGGGACATGCAAATCAACAGTCTGAGCTCAGTGAATGTTGGGTCAAAAGAGAAATGGGGGTGGGGGTGCCCATTCTGATCTTGCTTCTTTTTGAGGCCTCAGAGTGGGTGAGGAAGACAAGGAGGTGAGGGGGGGGTGGGGGGATCCTGGGCATTGGGCCAGGTGTTCAAAGGCACAGTCTGATTCTGCTGTTCTGTTTCGGCAGACACAGTGCCTGGAGTGTGTGATGAAATTCCCAACAGCATCTCCCCCTCTCCTCCGCTTTCTGAAATAACAAAGAGACATCCCTGCCAAGCAATAACTTTCTCCTTGTCTCCTGCAGGGAAACCAATGAAAAGCGTGCTGGTGGTGGCCCTCCTTGTCATTTTCCAGGTGAGGTTTCCTGCCAGGGAAAGCTCTGTTCCCCGATCCACAACCCCCTCCCCAGACCTGCCCCCTCCCTAGCCAGGAGGTCTGCTGGAGGAGCTGAAAACATGCTAGAAGAAATAGGAGACCCAGACACAAACCCACTGGCCATTCATTAGGCTGATGGCTGCCCCTCTCCATCTGCTGAGTGGCCCAGAGAGCCACAGATCTTCCCTGACTTCCTTTACTCCATTGAAATTAAAAGAAAGGGAGATGCATTACCACCATTCTCCCCACTCCACCTCCAACATACCCCACCCAGAAGACAGAAATTAAGCTCCATCTGCCTTGAGAGAAAAGAGCTGCAAAAAGCAAGTCCCATGGCTTCTCTGAGCCTCCCTTTCCCCATTACCAGGTTTTATACATGCATGCTCACACCCCCACACGTAAAACTTCACTTGTGAGCTAGGAATCTTTGGTTTGGTGGCCTGGTTCCTATCCTATCGCTTCAAAGTTGTCTCCTCACCCTTCACTCCTGGCAACCTCCAGGCAAAGGCTCCCCTCAAAGACCCACCTGAGCCCCACTGTTGGGAAGGAAAGAGAGGATGGGACCCTGAGGGTGGGGACGGGATTAGTGCACACACTTTTGAGTGGCTCAAACTCTGCAGACACAAAGGCCATAAACCCCTCTCCTGGTCCACACACTCCCCACCCCGTTTACAACGTTCTGCTTCTCCGTCTCAGAAGTGGAGACAGAAAATCTGCCCCCACCAGGTGCCACAGTTAGGAAAACCTGTAACTTATGGAGTCCTCTCCTCCATTTGATGAGGGTGGGAGTCGCTGGGGGGGGGGAGGGGCAGCTGAGCTAGAGCTGGAAGTGCGTGCTTCAGAGCTTGGCTCTTCCCCAGCTCTCGAGGCCAGAGGGGCAGCTTTCCAGGAGCTCCTGCCAGAGGCAGGCCCCGCCGAGCTGGGCGCTGTTCCTGAAACCCCATCCTGAAGCCACCACCCCCTCCCCTCCCGCCGCCCCCAGAGCTTGGGCTGTATCCCACAGCCTGGCCCCTTCCCCAGCGCCACTCCCTCCCGCCCCTTTCTCCCCTCTGGCTCCAGGAGTGCAGAGGGGCTGCCTTGCAGGCTGTGGAGGTTGAAAGGCTGGGGAGAGGCTGAGGAAAAGCTTTGGCTGCTTCTTCTCTTTCACTTGATTGGGGGGCGGGTTGCTCAGATGGGGCAGGATGTGGTGGGGCTATGGACTGCAGAGACATCAAGGCTTTTGGCCGGTAGAGCAGCCCAGTGTGGGGAGGAGAGAGAAGAGAAGGAAGACAGGACTGGGTAGTGGGAAGTAACCTTCCTCGAGTTTGGGATCAGTGCCCTCCAGAAAGGCCCAGAACCAGGGGCCTAGCCTCTGGCCTTCCTGGAAGAAGGGCAGCCAGCCTCTTCCAGGGCTCCCAGGCTGCAACCTGTGCCACTGGGAGTAAAATGGGTGCCACTGACTTTTCTCCTCAAGCTAGCAGTGCCCAAGGAAAAGGCTCCGGGCCATGTTCCTAGCAGGACAGTGACAAAGCCAAAGGCTCAGAAAGGCAAAGACAGGATGCAGGGAGATCAGAAGACTGGGGGTGACTCCTTGCTGCAGTGACCTTGGGCAAACCTCATCACTTCTCTGAGCCTCCCCTTCCTCACTTCTGAGGCCCCTCCAGCTCTCCAGCCATCTGGAAAACCATCACAGAGGAACTACTGGGAGCCCGTGCACTGAGTGTGGTCTCCCAGACCTTGGAGGGGAGGATGGTCCCAGGTGCACCATCCCCCTCAAGTGTCCCCAGGGCCCCATCCTTTCTTCCCTCCCCCACAGTGGGGCTCAGATGGATCTGAAAGAGGAGGCTTTGGCTCAAAGTTGTGGGGATGGGAGATGACTTGGGGTGATAGAATAGGAACCAGGCCACAAACCAAGGGTTCTTTTCTTAGCTCACATGTGAAATCTTACACGTGTGGGTGTACACACATATGTGCAAAACTTGGTCACCTCCCAGTCTTTGCTTCTGCAGCTCCTCTCTGAGAGCCTCTATAAAGTGTGTGCCCATCACCCCGTCCTGCCATCCCTCCTCCCCTGCCCCCTGCCCCACTCATGGGGCACATGAGCTTCCCATGTGGAGTCTTCCACTCCAGCTCCTTGCCCTGCAGGTGCCACTGTCTTGTTTTCATTGTTGTGCACCCTGAGCCAGGGCTGGCACACGTGCCCTCCCCCATTGATAAAATCACAGCAGGCTTCCTGAACCGTCCCCCACTCCCAGCCCCACAGACCGGCTCAAAAAAGCCCGGAGCAGCTGAGCCCTGCTGATTGGGATCTGCCAGAAGACACTGCCAGGAAGAGAGGGTGGTAGCATAGGGGGAGATGACAGCTGCCAAGGTGGGGAGGTCGCAGAGGACTCAGTCACAGCTGAGGCGGCCTCAGTTTCCAGCAGCCCCAGCACCCATTCATTCAATAGTCATGGAGGCCCAAGACACCTCACATGCATTGATTGAGCTCCTACTGGGTGCTAGGCACTATACCAAGAGCACCAGGAATCCAGAAAAGTCTCCAAGTTGCTCACCACCCTTGATCACAGTAGCTTCTCCCAAACCCAGGGCTCCAGTGGCCTCTTGTTGTTAGCTGCCCAACAAGTCGGTCCCCAACTCTTGCAACCCCATACACAACGAAAAGAAACACTTGTTGTTGTTGTTATGTGTCGTGGAGTCGGCCCTGACTCATAGCGACCCTTCCTTGGTTTTCCGAGGTGATATCACTACGGAAGTAGATTGCCCAACCTTCCCACACCCTGATGGGTTATGTATCCAACTGTTGTGATCAGTTTTACGCTGGCTGGTTTTCAGAACTGGATCACCAAGCCTTTCTTCCTTGTCTGTCTTCGTCTGGAAGCTCTGCTGAAACCTGTTCAACACCATAACAACATACAAGCCTCCAACTGGTGACAGATGGGTGTTGGCTGCACAAGCAGTGCATTGGCCAGGAATCGAACCCGGGTCTCCTGTATGAAAGAAGAGAGTTTGACCACTGGCCACCACTTCCCTCTTAGTGCCTATTAGTGGGACCTTTAGGCATTCTTCTCTTCTGCCCCAGGCCTCTCCTCAGTCCTGACCCCAAGGTAGATTGTGCCTCAAAAGCTGAGGTATTCTGTAGACCCCTTAGAAAGCTTTCTGCCAGGTTCTAAAGGAGGCTCAAGAAGGTTTCCAGCAGGCAAAAAAAAAAAAAAAAAATCCATGCAGATGAAATGGTTCAGGCCTCTTCCAAAGAGGATGAGGATCTCACACTGATTCAGCCTCTCTGAGGTATCAGAGCTTGGGTCAGGTATCTGTGTCCATGAGTTCAAGGAACGCTCATAACCACTTGAAGGAGGTATTATTCATCTCCATTTCACAGATAAGAAAATAGAGGCCCAGAGAAATGAAGTGTGTTTAACAGGCTTGAGGTTTGTCTGATTCCAAAGCCCAGATATTTCCACTATCAGCAAATGATAGGTTGAGGCTTTTGGAGCTGACAAAATCAGACCCTTGCTACTCATTAGAAATGCAGAGACTCTCCTCCCCTGAGCCAGCCTGCTGAATCAGAGTATGCATTTTAACAAAATACTTCCTGTGCACTGATTCTGTACCAAAGAATCCCCTAGAGAGTTTAGAAGAACACAGATTCCTGGGTGCCAACCCCCTGAGGTTCTTACTCATGAGGTCTCAGGTGAGGCGCCCAAATCTGCATTTCTAACAAGCTCCCAGGTGATGTTAATGATGCTGATCTATGGACCACACTTGGAAACCACTGCTCTAGGTAATTCCAGGCCCCAGGCCCCGGAGGTTTAGACCCACCTAGCTAAGCCGCGATCACAGGGGATGGCACTGGACTGGTAGCCTCTCATTCCATTGTGCTTGGTGTCACCATGAGTCAGGGCCAACTAGATGGCAGCTAAGAACAACTGTAGGGAAGGGAAGAAAGCTAAGTTGGGTTGTTTTCCTTCTCCCCAGGTGTGCCTGTGCCAAGATGAAGTCACAGACGATTACCTTGGAGACAACACCACGGTCGACTACACCTTGTACGAGTCCGTGTGCTTCAAGAAGGATGTGCGGAACTTCAAGGCCTGGTTCCTCCCAATTATGTACTCAGTCATTTGCTTTGTGGGCCTGCTGGGCAACGGGCTGGTTGTGTTGACTTACATCTATTTCAAGAGGCTCAAGACCATGACAGATACCTACCTGCTCAACCTGGCCGTGGCGGACATCCTCTTCCTCTTGACCCTTCCCTTCTGGGCATACAGTGCTGCCAAGTCCTGGGACTTTGGTATCCACTTTTGCAAGTTCATCTTTGGCATGTACAAGATAAGCTTCTTCAGCGGCATGCTCCTACTTCTTTGCATCAGCATCGACCGCTATGTTGCCATTGTGCAGGCTGTCTCAGCCCACCGCCACCGTGCCCGCGTCCTGCTCATCAGCAAGCTCTCCTGTGTGGGCATCTGGATACTGGCCATAGTCCTCTCCATCCCAGAGGTGCTGTACAGTGGCATTCAGAGGAGCAGCAGTGAGCAGACACTGCGATGCTCCCTCATCACCGAGCATGTGGAGGCCTTGATCACCATTCAGGTGGCCCAGATGGTGGTGGGCTTTCTGATCCCTCTCATGGCCATGAGTTTCTGCTACCTTGTCATCATCCGCACCCTGCTTCAGGCACGCAACTTCGAACGCAATAAGGCCATCAAGGTGATCATCGCCGTGGTCGTGGTCTTCATAGTCTTCCAGCTGCCCTACAATGGGGTGGTCCTGGCCCAGACTGTGGCCAACTTCAATATCACCAGTAGCAGCTGTGAGCTTAGCAAGCAGCTCAACATCGCCTATGATGTCACCTACAGCTTGGCCTGTGTCCGCTGCTGTGTCAACCCTTTCTTGTATGCCTTCATCGGTGTCAAGTTCCGCAGTGACCTCTTCAAGCTTTTCAAGGACTTGGGATGCCTCAGCCAGGAGCGGCTTCGGCAGTGGTCTTCCTGTCGGCATACCCGACGTTCCTCAATGAGTGTGGATGTTGAGACCACCACCACCTTCTCCCCGTAGGAGGCACTACTGCCCGGACTCGATGGACTTCTCCTAGAGTCTCTGTGGCAGGGACTGGGAGCAGATGCAATGACTCAGGCCCCAAAAGCTGCTGAGGGAAAGATAGTTCTTGTCATTAATGTTTATATCAGAGTGAAAGCCAGTGCCTCAGAAGCCAGCTTAACCCCCATCCCAGCTACCTCAACCAAAGCTGAGAAGAGACAGGACCTTAAGCTAGCACCAGAAGTGGCAACACTCTAAAACCAAAGCTGTTGTCTCCCAATCCAAAAACCAAAAGCGAAAGTCAAGAAACAATTCAGCGTCCTGGTGTGAAGGGGTGGTGAGAGGTAGGGTGGTGGAGGTGGGCTGGTGAGGCCTCTGAATGAACTTTTTATTGACTTAGAAAGAAGTCCCCTCAGAGATTCCCAGGGCTGAGACAAGGTCTTTCAGAAAACAAGGCTTTGTTTCCAAGACCAGAGATGGGAGAAAGACTCTGGCTTGTGGGGGAAAAGAGAGGTCAATGGGTCAAACTCTCTTGGAATCCCTCCCTCCATCTATCCTTTTCCACTGCCATGAGAGCAAGCAAGAAATGGCAGACTCCAAGCCTCCCTAAAGACATACCTGCCCCCTTGCCTGCCCCTCTACTCAGGATGGTCCCCCTCCCCAGCTCTCTACAGGGGAGGGTGTGGCGTTTCCTGTAGACCAGGCCAGCTGCCTCAGCCCACCTGGCTAAAGCCCTGTCTCCCAGCCTAGGCTCTGGAATGATGAGGAGAGGTGATCAGCCCTGCTCAGGTCTGGGCTCTGCTGGGATGGAGCGGGCAGGGGGAAAAGGTTAGAGGAAAGGGTGGCTACAAGGCCGGACTGCGGAAAGCCAATGAGTTCATTCTTTGTTCTTTGTCACAGGAACAGAAAAACTCTCCCCATGTTCTGCTTTCAATTCATTAAGAGAGCACATTTTACTCATACACAAATAAAAGTTTTCCCTGGAGGAAACTACAGCTTTAAAGAAAGGCAAAAACATCTTCTGTAAATGGCAAATGAGTGTGTTCTTGTTTTGCAACCCCCCACACCCCACCTGACCTCCCCCACTTTCCTGCTTTCCCTCCTCCCCCGGCCTCATTTCTCAGATGCTCAGAGTCATGAGGTCTTCTGAGCTATGCTCTGAGCCCATCCAATGACACAGGCCCAAGAGGCTGAGAGAGGTGGAAGGAAGGGAAAGACAGAGTGTCCATCTTGCAAATACCCTGGCAGAGCTCATGGGATAGGACCCAAATCTATGTGGTCCACAGACACTGGTCTGAACTGAGATTTGAAAAGCTCCACGTTGTCCCGGTAACCTCTGTGGCTGGGAGCTCCCCTGACTCTTGGTGAATCTGCTCACTGCTCGGCTCACCTGTCCTTGCTAATGATTAACATGCTTGGTTGCTAATTGGAAGTTGGGGGTTCAAGTCCACCCAGAGGTACCTCAAGAGGAAGGAGGAGGAAAGAAAGAAAAAAGGCTGGTGATCTGTTTCTGAAAAATCAATGACTGAAAACCCAATGGGACACAGGTTCACTCTGACACACATGGAGTCACCATGAGGTGAGACTGGTTTGTTTGGTTGTTTCTGCTCACCTGGCCCAACTAGAGCCCCTGACCCTTTGTCATCTCCCTTAGCCTCCCAGAACTGCTATTTGGAAGAAGGGCCTTTCCCTGGGATCAGAGACCACGGCATCCTGGATTAAGGGGGCCTGGAGAAAGGACTCATAAGATAAGCTTATCCTTTGCTAGAAACTCAAAACGAGGATCACCCATAACCCCCTCTGGCTACTGCAGCAGGGATGGTCTTCCCCATGTGGAGGGGTGGGGCTAAAGGAGCAGCTCTTCTAGGAACTCAGGCCAGGTATCCATGTCACTGGGTGCCTGGTGCACACCCACAGCCCCGACTTCTCCAAGCCAGAGAGAATCCAGGGACAGGTGGGCAGATGTCCTGAAGTGCTGTCACACGTTGCAATAATTCTGGGCCTGGGGCAGGAGGGCAGATAGGGAAGGGCTAAGACGCTCACGCGAAGATGGTTCCATCTATTTTTCTCAAGTGAAAAAGAGCCGCTTGAATATGGGACGTGCCTGGTAATGAAGCCCATTCTCTCTCTCTCTCTCTCTCTCTCTGAACCCCTTTCCATTACGTTCCTCCTTGGAGTTTTTTTAACTCAGCGCATTTGTCAGCCGGCCCCTAAGCCTGGACGCGCATCCTGAGAGGAAGGATCTGGTGCTTACAGTCAGCATGGCACAGCCTTCAGAGGCCGCATTCAATATTAAAAGATGCAGCTACAGCTGTGCAGCATGCGTGCAGTTTCCAGTGTGTGTATGTGTCCCCGGAGGGAACCTGCCCATGTGCATGTGCGTGTGTGTGCATGTGGAGCTGCTGGTGTGTGCATCCTAATGAGGTTCCAGATGGGAAAACGATCCTTGGTTCCTGAAGGGAAGGAATGTGATGGGGCAGGCATGGAAGAGAGACCCAGGCCAGCCGCATGAACACATCACCCCAGCTTCAAATACATTTTCCTAAAATAACTGGATGCCTCCAAATATTTACAGAGACAACAAAACTACCCCCAGCAATGTTAAGTCCCCAAACCACTGTGTCTCAGAAGTTCTGACTTCAGTTGTTCAGGCCCTGGGGATACCCTGATCCCTGCTTCCTTGTCCAACTCTTTCACACACCTACCCTGAGCTTTGGGGTGACCCTGGAAGAAGGAAAGAGCCCACTGGGAAGGCCCATCCAGGCCTTTTCTCTTTCTCTCTCTTTTTCTCTCTCTTCTGCTTCTTGCAACTGCCTGGGTTCACTGCCCCCATGGCCCTCCTCAGCCTGCTGCAGCTTCCTGCTTCATTCCATTGCCTGGCCCCATCCCCTATCATCATCACTGGCTGCAACCCCAGGCCAGACCAAAAGTGTTTCCAGGCCACAGATCTGCCCTTTCAGCTAGAAGCACCACACCTCTTGAATCACAGACTCCCAGAACTGCAAAGGAACCTCAAAGATCTGCCAGTCCAACCCTAGTCTTTCTCTATGGGGAAACTGAGGCCCAGAGGGAGGAACTGACTTGCCTAAAGAGATATCACAATGTAGGGCTATTGGGTACACTTGCTATGGGACCCCAAGGGTCTGACAGGTTTGCAAGAGTGAGGCTGGGAAGAGCAAAAGCTCTGGAGCAGGCTGACTCTAAATCTCATCTTGACCCCTTCCTGGCTGTGCAACCTTCAGCTGTTGCTCAACTGCTCTGGGTCTCAGATTTCTCAACTGTAGAATGGAGAGGAGTTGGGTAAATCCTTAGCACAGTGCCTGGAATGTAGCTGTGGTGTGTCATGGTGAAAAGCATGGACCCTGCAGCAGGGATGCCTGGTCTGAATTCCAGCCCACTCATTGGACTGGTTACTTAACCTCTCCTTGCCTCAGTTTCTTGATCTATATAAGGGGGGTAATAATAATATCTACCTCTTAGGGTTGTTGTGGGAATTAAATGAATTAATCGCTGTAAAATACTTAGAAATCCGTACGTAAATGCCATTGGTATTCATTTTGGAGATCTTCAATAAAAGTTGATAGTCATGTAGTGTCAGTTCCAACTCAAAGCAACCTTGTTTGTTTGTTTATGTGCCGTCGAGTTGGACCCGACTCATAGCGACCCCTCCTTGGGTTTCCAAGGCAGTATCACTACGGAAGTAGATTGCCCAGTTCCCTTCCAAGGAGTGGCTGGTGGGTTTGAACCGCCAGCCTTCTGGTTAGCAGTCAAGTGCCTTAGGCACTATGCTACCAGAGCTCCTCAAAGCAACCTTATACGTAACAAAACAAAATATTGCCCCGTGCTGTGCCATCCTCACAATTCCTGGTATGTTTGAGCCTGTTGTGGCAGCTATTGTGTCATTCTATCTCATGGAGGGTTCCTCTCGTTTTTTGCTGACACTAAATTTACCAACCATCATGTCCTTGTCTAGCGACTGGTCTTTTCAAGAAATGGTAGCTAAAATAAATAAATAAATAAAGTTGCTAACTGCAAGGAAACCAAATTCAATTTCGTAGCCCCAATTCCTCCTGCACCATTTACAAGTTGAGCTGGAGGGCAGCTTGGAGATTAGCTAGTCCTGTCTTTTCTATCAAGAAGCTCTGGCAGTGTAGTGGTTAAGGCATTTGGCTGCTAACCAAAAGGTCAGTGGTTTGAATGCATCGGGCGGTCCGTGGAAGAAGGCGTGAGGCAGTCTGCTTCCATAAAGACTGACAGCCTTGGAAACCCAGTGGAGGTCACTATGAGTTGGAATCGACTTGATGGCAATGATTTGGTTTTGGGGTTTGGTCCTTTGTACTAACTATACAGCTGAGTCAGCTAAGACTCAGAGAGGGGAAACAGTTCAATTGAGGTCTCTCAGGAGCTCTTGCTAGAACTTGAATCCTAGCTTTCCAGGCTCCCACTCCAGAGCTCTTTGCCACAGACCTTGCTACACACACTTGAAAACTCCTCCACACCCACACTCCCACACACCATGCTTATCTCAGGACTGTGGAGTTCTTCCCCACCAGGCATTGTCCATCTTGTTCCCTGGCCAGGTCCTCAAGGGGAACCTCTCCTCTCCCCCATAAACATCTCCTGTCCTTGCCAGTTGATCCGAGTAATGCAGTAAAAAGAAATCTGGCAGGGAGGCCCAACAGAAATCTGGCAACGGATCTTTTTAAGAAAGGAAGATGGACCCCTTTCTCTGGGAGTTAGACTCTCAGGTGCATTTCTGTGTTGAAGGTAAACAGATTGGAGGCAGAAGAAGCAGACCTAGGCAGTGAGGACAGGGATGGGGGTGAGGGTAAATGAAATGGGGAAGAGGAAGGAGCAGAAGCTGGGGGAGGGGTGACAGGGGTGGGTGCTGGAGACTTGGAGAGGGTCTTCAGTGGGTGGATGTCACCTTACACCTACACACAGACCTCTAGCCTCAGGTAGGGAGAAGGTCTTAGAGACAGGTCTTAGAGCCAAGTGGGTACTAGGGGAGTGGGAGT